AAGTCTCTTCACACCCTAAAATTTGACAGTCTCTCTACTTATAAATTTGTGCCGGGGAGATTTGCCACAGATATGCTAATTAATTTCTTCCCCGCTATTCTAGAAATGTGTCCTTGTACAGAACACTACTGTTTTTAATACCTAACTCTGCTACAAAGAAATTTAAAAATGAAAGGAAATATCCTGACTCTTGAAGCTTTCAGTATCTAACTGAAAATTGTTCCAAATAGTTGACAGTCTAAGAGTGGAAATCTGGTTTCTTAATGACGCATAATTGTTCACTAACGTAAATTGTTTCTTGGTGCATTCCACAGTCTTTCATTAGACAGCTCTAAGTTGGGCCTGTCTATTTGTTTTGTTTTTTTTATAAAAATGTACAAAGACTGTGTGAAGATAAAGAATGTCAGAGACTAGTCCCCTGGGGGGCTGGAGAGAATATGGCTAAAATCAAGTAGGACTGAAAACAAAAGACTGATTTATTTTACCAAACCTCTGTCCAGGCCCTAGTTTCACAAAACCAGGGTTAGTGGGTCAAATATATGGTCAATTGCTTTGATACTCCAGAGTTTTTTGTGGTGCATTTTGATGGCACAGTGAACCCGCAGAAATAAGGAACAGAATACTGAATATATATCTGCCCCTATGTCTAGGAGGTTGCAGTAAGAAGCGTCACAAAATCAATAGTGGCACGTGTGAATGAGGAGGAGAAGGAGGATGAAGCAGAGTTTGGAGAGGAAGATCTTTTTCACCAACAGGTAATAAGCTGTGAACCAGATACTTTTTAACTTATACTTCCCTCCCAGTTCTCATCTTGTGACAGTGGATTGGAAATATGAGTCTTCCATCCGTCTTTGCAGACTGTAAACCTGCTACTCCCTGTTTTTCAATGGGAACCTGTAAAGGACTAGGCAAAGAGTGAATTCTGTAACCCCCTGAGAAAATCCCTACAATGAGTACAGCACATACTCTTGGGCTCCTCACTTCAGGAATGAACAGATCCTGTTGGACTCCACAAGAGCTCAGGTGACTGTCAAGTCAGGATGTGAGGGACTGTGACATCATCCCACAAAATGAATTTGCACCAATGGGATATTTTAGAGAATATGTCCTGTTGAGTATAGATAAGTTTAAGCTCCATATTACAACCCTCCCTTTCCTTTCCTGTATACCTATCCTGCTATTTAGCAACTATATGAATTGAGACCTAAGGAATGATCCCCACTTATTCTGGCCTCTCTGCTGCAGAACCAGTTCTGGTGTTGGTCAGCATCCTTCTCCAATACACAAAGAGGGTATTCTGAGAAATGAGGGAAAGAGGTAGTATTATTCCCATTATTGTAGCTACAGTTTGGTAGTGATTACTTACAGAAGTGGTTTGCAACCTTTTTTTTGTACCAGGACCCATTTGTAAATGTCAGTGGCTGGTCTCAGCCCAGTGCCCCTCACTCCTGACCTGGTTTCATAGTTGCTAGGGTCAGAAGGAACCTGAGCAGATCATCGCGTCCGACCCCCTGCCATGGCAGGAAAGAGTACTGGGGTCAAACGACCCCAGCAAGGTGTTCATCTAGCCTCCTCTGAAAGACCCCCAGGTTAGGACCCAGCACCACTTTGCTTGGAAGTTTGTTCCAGATCCTAGCTGCCCTGACAGTGAAGTAGCGCCTCCTGATGTCTAATCTGAATTTACTCTCTGCCAGCTTGTGACCGTTATTTCTAGTCACTCCTGGTAGTGCTCGGGGA